AGGTAAATAATGAGTGTACTGTGTGTGTATTTTATTTTTTATTATTTTTTAATGCCTAAGTTCTATTGCTAACTTAATATATGTTAGTGTAAACTTGTCATCTGGCATTTATATACATTTATAAGTGGAAAAAATGGCGTTCTGCTTGCCGGTGAAGTCTGCTTTCCGGCAGTAGCCTGGAACCTAACCTGCCGTACAAGTGGGGCCGTACTGTAATATTTATATAAATGTTAAAAAATTATTTTTTTGGTGAATATTTTTGTCTGGAACGAATTAATTGTATTTACATGAATTCTTATGGGAAATATTATTTCGGTTTTCAGCCGACCTGGAACGGATTACAGCTGATAACCGAGGGTCCACTGTACCTGTATTTGTACTGTATGTATGTGGAATATACAGCACAAATACATGTTCATTGAAACTTATTACTGTGTTGGAAAAATATCTGACTCTTTAGAAAAAGAAAATCTTGCCAGTTAGCGTGGGAGTACATGAGTGTGTATACATCCAGAGCTCTCACAATAAGTGCAGCAGTTTGACAGTGTTTATATACAACCAGAGCTCTCACAGTAAGTGCAACAGTTTGAGAGTGTGTATATACAACCAGAGCTCTCACAGTAAGTGCAGCAGTGTGACAGTGTGTATACACAGCCAGAGCTATCACAGTAAGTGCAGCAGTATGACAGTGTATACAGTAGGGCCCCACTTATATGGCAGGTTGGGTTCCAGGCTACTGCCATAAAGCAGAATCTGCTGTAAAGTGGAACACCCTTTTTTTTTCACTTATAAATGCATAGAAATACTAGATAACAAGTTTACACTTACATATACAGTGGACCCCCGGTTAACGATATTTTTTCACTCCAGAAGTATGTTCAGGTGCCAGTACTGACTGAATTTGTTCCCATAAGGAATATTGTGAAGTAGATTAGTCCATTTCAGACCCCCAAACATACACGTACAAACGCACTTACATAATTACACTTACATAATTGGTCGCATTCGGAGGTAATCGTTATGCGGGGGTCCACTGTATTAAGTTATCAATAGAACTAGGCATTAAAAACAATAAAAAAGTAAAATACACATACAGTGGACCCCCGCATACCGCACGCATTGCATACCGTACCGCTCGCTTTTTTCGCAAAAATTTTGCCTCGCATACCGCCCAAAAACCCGCTCACCGCCCTTCGTCCGAGACGCGTCCAATGTGCGGCCTGAGCCACGCTCACATGTTCCGCCGGTGGCATTGTTTACCAGCCAGCCTCCGCGGTAACATCCAAGCATACAATCGGAACATTTCGTATTTACAGTGTTTTTGGTGATTTTTTCTGGAAAATAAGTGACCATGGGCCCCAAGAAAGCTTCTAGTGCCAACCCTACAGCAATAAGGGTGAGAATTACTATAGAGATGAAGAAAAAGATCATTGATAAGTATGAAAGTGGAGTGCGTGTCTCCGAGCTGGCCAGGTTGTATAATAAACCCCAATCAACCATCGCTACTATTGGTGGTACAGCTGCTGCTGTACCACCGTCAGCTGCTGCACTGTCAGCTGCTGCTGCACTGTCAGCTGCTGCTGCACTGTCAGCTGCTGCTGCTGTTGTACCACCGTCAGCTGCTGCTGCTGCTGTAGTACCGTCTGCTGCTGCTGTAGCATCGTCTGCTGCTGCTGTAGCATCGTCTGCTGCTGCTGTAGCATCGTCTGCTGCTGCTGTAGCATCGTCTGCTGCTGCTGTAGCATCGTCTGCTGCTGCTGTAGCATCGTCTGTTGCTGCTGTAGCATCGTCTGCTGCTGCTGTAGCATCGTCTGTTGCTGCTGTAGCATCGTCTGTTGCTGCTGTTACCACCGTCAGCTGCTGCTGCTGCTGTAGCACCGTTGTTGGTGTGGCTTATTGAGAATACCAAGAAACAATTAACCCCAGAGGATTTGCCACCCAGGATAACCCAAAAAAGTCAGTGTCATCGAAGACTGTCTAACTTATTTCCATTGGGGTCCTTAATCTTGTCTCCCAGGATGCAACCCACACCAGTCGACTAACACCCAGGTGAACAGGGAAAAATGCCTGGAACTAGTGCTCATATTGGTGAATTTAAAGCCAGCAAAGGTTGGTTTGAGAGATTTAAGAATTGTAGTGGCATACACAGTGTGATAAGGCCTGTTCTGGAAGAAAATGCCAAACAGGACCTACAGTACTCAGGAGGAAAAGGCACTCCCAGGACACAGTGTCTCATCAGTCATTGCTGCATCTTCAATAAAGGTAAGTGTCATTTATTCTTATTAGTAGGGTACATGCAAAATAAATTGGCATGTATACTTATTTTGTGCATGTATCCTTCTTTTTGTGTGTAGGAAATGTTATTTCAGTGGAAAAAAATTTTTTTTTCTATTTTTGGTGTCTTGCACGGATTAATTTTTTTTCCCATTATTTTTTAGGGGGAAAAAATTCTTCGCATACCAAACTTTTTGCAAACAATCAGCCTCTTGCACGGATTAAGTCGCTAGGGGGGCCCTGATAGTACACTCTTACTTCCCCAAAAATATTTGTAGTTTTTTCTAGGGTGAGATGAGTAGATTTTTTGTAAAAAATAAGTGGGGTATGTATGGTACCCAGTCGGCCCTCCCAGGCCCCCCCCCCCCAAAATTTAATATTCTAGAATTTAAGACCCCAGAGCGTAAAATGCATGTACAGTTCATTTCTTACTTCCCTTTAAAATATTTTAATTAAATGTGGGGTTCAAGGTGAGTAAGTGAAAAACGAATAAAACAAAAAAGAGAGAGGAAGAAAATGGTACAAAAAAGGGACAGGGGCAAGTTATGTAAACAAACTAGGCAAACCAAATCGGTTTGTGTAAAAGTTTCCTTTTGGTTGATACGTAAATAAATAAAGAGGAACACTCCCTTTCTCATGTAACACCCTTTTTAGAAAAATGACCTTGAGTGAAGGCATAACGAAAAAGGGGTTTTTTTTCCCAGCTTACCCCCCCCAGTAACACATTTCTTTATGTTGGACTGGAAAACGTATTTTATCACTTTCTTTCTTACCATACCTCTCATATTTAAGTTTGTTTTTCTACTGGGGGGTTATTTATCATCTTTATATGTTATGTATCGTGTTTATTATATAATTTTTTTAAAAAATATCATAGATGGTTAAGAAAATGAAAATGTGCGCAGTTGACGGTGTATGTACAACCAGAGCTCTCACTAAATGCGCGTGTGCAGTGGAAGTTTAAAACCCGAACTCTCACGAGAACAACAGGTGCTTTAGTTTTGAACGTACTACAGATTTGCACATTTAAAAAAATATGTAGGGGAAAAAAATAATGCATATAACTATGGGAAAAGATTTTGATGATTTCAAAAAAGAATTAAAGGGTTCATTAAAATTTACCCCTTTTTTTCCATGATCAAACTCGAGACCCCCCCATTTCCTTAGCATTGTATGACCCCCAAAGGCATAGCAAAATTTTAATAATAAAGATTTATTTCTATTTGTTATATCAGTGATCTCGCATGCACCTTTGGGGATAACAAAGCTCTCCTATATACAGAAAGAGTACCCTTTTTGGGTCAACACTTCCCCATAATAATAATTATAAGGGGAGTGCTAAACCCTTTGGAAAAACATGGTGCCTGTGGGGGGGGGGGATGGAAGGCCCCCCTCCCTTTGGGGGGGTGTTTTCCCCCGAACTTAATTTTGAAGACGGGCCCTTTTTTAACAGTGATCTCTGTTGTCTTTTTTTAGTCATCAAAGCTCTCCTTTAGCCAAAAGCTCGTGTCTTTTTGTATATACCAGCCTCCTCTTTGCAATTCTGAGGTAACTTCTTTACCCGGGTTACACTTACCGCCGATTTTTACCTGAGATCCTTGACCTTTTTCATAATGTAAAGGTCACTCTCGAAACCCCGCATTTTTGTATATTTTAAAGATTTGCCTTTTCATTTTACACAAGATTTACTCGCTTTCATGATATCAAGGTTCTTCACACCTATGGTTCTATTATATTAATTTAAAACTACTTTTTGTTAAAAAACTTTTTTTTAAAAAGCAAATATATAGTGTACGGGGGCTTCACATGCACCGGGTTATGAAAACTAAAACCAGTAATGTTCATGACTGTCTAGGGCCCCCAAAAAGGATTTTGTTCAGCTTAGTATTCTTCAAACTGAACTTCAGTTTTAAAAGGTAATCAAATGCGGTACAATAAAGTTTGCATCCGGGGAATGAAGGGGGTCTAAAATAGGCGAAGTTGCTTCTTTGGTTTTTAATTTTCCATCGATGTTCAAGAAAGTGGCTCTCTTGAATGTTGATAAATTCGATCCCAAAAATTTTAAAAGGCCCCCCATTCCTGTGAGTCTTCAGTCCTCGAGGAAGATGACCTAAGAAGTCTGTCAGAGACAGTCTTAATACCAAGAAGTAAGTGCCAAGCCGGGCCATGGCACGACTATGTTTCACCCGGGAAAACCCCAGCAATTTCGCAAAACCTTTCACGCACATTGCACGCCACTTTTTAAATGTCTTCTTCCTTTTGGCAGCTGGGTGTTATCCAATTTTCCATTGTGTGAGAAACATAGGTCCCGGTACCCTTCGTGCTGGGGCCCAAAAGGCGGGTATGGGAGATGCAGCCCTTTTTAAAAGGGGGGAAGAGTAAACTCTAAATTTCTTTTGAAAATTTTTTTATCAAGGGACAATTTATTTAAGCAAAAGCAGTTCTTTCGATCAGTGGGGATTTTTCTTTAGTTTCCCTATAAATATATCGGAGCCCCATATCTGTCACTGCAACCCGGATATATTAACCAAATCGTTGATAAATCAAAAACTAAGTTTCCCGAGTCTGTCTTTCTGGGGTTTTCAAACCACATTCAGAAGAGTCCTGAACTTTTTTTACGTTGGGGGGGTGAGAGTTACTATATGGATCAGCATAGTTTTGTTTTATCTTTAGTCTCCGAATTGCCACTGTTTACCTCCCAAAATACTCCAAAGAATCACAGGTTTTCACGTTTCTTGGCTTTCTGGGGTAAGTAAAAAAAAATCCTTTAAAAGAGAATTAGCTTTTCCAACTTCTTGCAAGAAGCGCCCTATCTCTTCTTGAAGCATATGCATTCTGCTTTCACCTTTTTCCATGTTCCACTTGCAAGCATATTTTCGCAGCGACTCAAGATCTGAGATTTTTAGCTCTGATTCCTTTTTCTTCAGTACTAGTCTTGCTTTAGTAGCAAAGAGAGGTTCACTCAGAATTTCTTGTCTATATTCTTCAGGCAGGAGTACCAAATTAAAATCTTTTACATAGTTTTCGTAACCGCTGAGTAGCTGCTCAGCTGTTGGATGTTTGTCCGAAGGAATTTTTGACCTTATCCCCTTTTTAGTCATGTAGTCATGCAGGTACTCCAGGCATTCTTTATTACCTTTAACAGCAGCTAGATGTGCCGCCGTTAGTCCTCTTTTATCTTCTGCCTGTATGTCGGCTCCATTATACAGCAGATATTCAATCATGCCCAGACGGCCGTAGAGAGCAGCCACATGTAGCATCTTAGTTCCTGTAAGTTCATCGACAATGCTATTGACATTAACATCATTTATTTTGTTAGATAATTTGAAAAATAGCGATACTAACCCTAGGCGAGATATAGCAATCAAAATAGTGTTTTCCAAAGTGACCTCCTGACCACGGTAAGCAGCTTCAACTTGCTTCATTAAGTCCGAAAACTTATTATTATTAGTGTACCTTTTCAATAACACTTTTAATTGCTCCAGTTCAGCCAGTTCAACTTCTTGACAAAGAGTTTGAGGAAGGTCTTCATTTTTCATAAGGGAAACTAGAGGCATGTGAAGATCTCTAAGTAATGTGTATAAAGTTTCAAACTGTTGTCTTTCTAGTGAAAGTTCCACAGGATGATTCTCTGATGGTAGGGGATGAAGGTGGAAGTCTTCAAGACCCAGCATCTGGCACGTAAGAGACATTCCAAGTGATGCTGCTGTGCACAGAAAGCTTCTGGCTCTCTTACTACGCATTTTAGCACCATTTCCATTCTGCTTTTCGTCTATGAATTCCCATGAAAACTTGGGTCCATTTTTTCTCACCTCAGCAGCAAGCCTCTTCACTGCCTTACACAAGTCTGTGTTTTCTCTCTCGTGAATTTTCATGGCCTCCCAACACAGCTTACTGGCATACTCCTGCAACATAAATTTAAATATGCAGAGTTAGTAATAATTATTGTGAGAGAATACAGATAAGCCACTGGATGAGCTCCTTCTCTTACACAGGGGCTGTGAATCGATTCCTGCAATTACATATTGGCGAGTACAGACACACACATACACACAAGGATGAACCAGCCAGACTGGACTTCATATTCACTTTGAGTAGTTCAAACATTGATGACATCACACATGATAGGCCCTGGAGTTAGTGGTTGCATGGTCCTCAGCTTCGAATACAGAGTTACAAGTGGAGTGGGATGCTGGAAGAGTAGGATGGGAGAAGCCAAACTACAAAAGAGGGAACTACACAGGCATGAGGAATTTCCTGCATAAGGTTCAGTTGGAAAGAGAACTGGTGGGAAAATAAGTAAATAAAAAGATGAAGTATGTGACATCAAAATGCAAGGAGGCAGAGGAGAGGTTCGTTCTCAAGTGCGACAGAAATAATGGGAAGACCAGAACGAGCGAGCTCTTGGTTCACCCAAAGGTATGTAAAGTAAAAGGACACAAGTGCAACTAATGTGACATTTTAATGTGGCAACGTTTCGCTCTCCAGGAGCTTTATCAAGCCATTACAAACAATACATGGACACAGAGGGTATATAAAGGCTCAGAGTGAGGTGCAATACTAGTGAGGTACCATTTCGATGTTCACTAGTGGTAGTAGTAGTAGTAGTAGTAATAGTAGTGATAATAGTAGTGATAAAAGTAATACAATATGGTAGAGCAATTAATTCGTACATGAGTAAAAGGATATAAAAGCTATTACTTGGGTAACATAAAAATAGGTTGGACAAATATAGACTGGAAAGAGGCAGGTTGTTTCAGTGTTCACTCTTTGCAATCTGCTTTGTGTAGTATAACAGGAGAGAGTATGTGATGGCAGGGTTTACTGTTTTCAGGAGGATTCTTGCTAAGACTTCGGAGATGGTGAAGCTGCCGTTGTTTTGTTTAATTGTATTCAAAACAGCGTTCAGTGCTGATTTGAGGCACTTGCATCTGCACTGAATGTCTCAAAAGTACTTTCACAAGCTAACACCAGAGTCGCCATCGCTTCTAGCACTTCAATAAAGGATCTAACCAGGACAAAATCCAAGCACCACAAACCAGTCAATGCAGGAGTTTACACTATACCCTGTGGAGGCTGTGACAAGATTTACGTAGGTGAAACAGCAAGAAACCTCGACACCCGCCTCAGTGAACACATTTACGCATGTAGGAATGATAACTTGAACAACGCCTGTGTACAACACCGAAATTCCACCAATCATCTCACGAAATTCAGAGACGCCCAATTAGTGATCAAAGAAACTAATTTCCGCAGACGCAAGTGCCTCGAATCAGCACTGATCGCTGTTTCGAATACAATTAAACAAAACAACGGCAGCTTCACCATCTCCGAAGTCTTAGCAAGAATCCTCCTGAAAACAGTAAACCCTGCCATCACATACTCTCTCCTGTTATACTACACAAAGCAGATTGCAAAGAGTGAACACTGAAACAACCTGCCTCTTTCCAGTCTATATTTGTCCAACCTATTTTTATGTTACCCAAGTAATAGCTTTTATATCCTTTTACTCATGTACGAATTAATTGCTCTACCATATTGTATTACAGTGGTCCCCCGCTTTTCGTAGTTCCCGGCAATCGTAAAATTCGCCAATCATAGGGATATTTTCGTATGAACATGGACTCGCTTTTCATAGGTTGACTCGCGAGTCGTAATTCGTCCGGGACGCGTACCCACGGTGTGAGCCGGGGCGGCAGCCAGTCTGGCATTGTTTACCAGTGAGCGAAGGTCCCTTCACATGCTCCAGCGAAATATTTCATAATATTCCATTTATTTTAGTGCTTGCAAGTACTAAATAAGCTACCATGGCTCCAAAGAAAGCTCCTAGTGCCAAGCCTGTGGTAAAGAAGGTGAGAAATACGACTGAATTTAAGAAAACCATCAGTGAACAATATGAAAGTGGTACAAGTGTGGCCGAACTGTCCAGGATGTATAAGAAACCCTACACAACCTTACGTTCCGTAGTGGCCAAGAAAAAGGAAATAAAGGATGCTGTTGTTGCAAAGGGAGTAACTATGCTGACAAAAATGAGATCACCAGTACTGGAAGAGGTTGAGAAGCTATTATTGGTGTGGACAAATGAGAAACAATTAGCAGGAGATACTCTTATGACTTCGATTATTTGTGAAAAGGCTACGCAGTTGCATGAAGATTTGGTAAAGAAATTGCCTGCAAATAGTGGTGAAGTGAGTGAATTTAAGGTCAGAAAAGGCTGGTTTGAGAGATTTAAGAACCATACTGGCATACACAGTGTGGTAAGGCATGGTGAGGCTGCCAGTTCGGACCACAAGGCGGCTGAAAAATATGTGCATGAATTCCAGGAGTACATAGAGGCTGAAGGACTGAAACCTGAACAAGTGTTCAATTGTGACGAAACAGGCCTCTTTTGGAAGAAAATGGCAAAGAGGACCTTCATTACACAAGAGGAAAAGGCAATGCCAGGACACAAGCCTATGAAAGACAGGCTGACGCTAATGTTCTGTGCTAATGCTAGTGGGGATTTCAAAGTGAAGCCATTACTAGTGTACCATTCTGAAAATCCCAGAGTGTTCAGGAAAAACAATGTTATGAAGAGTAAATTGTGTGTGTTTTGGAAATCTAATAGTAAGGCATGGGTCACGAGGGAAATTTTCGTTGAGTGGTTCAATGATGTGTTGGCCCTAGTGTGAAGGAATATCTCCTGGAAAAGAAATTGGATCTCAAGTGCCTGCTAGTAATGGACAATGCACCTGCTCATCCTCCAAACTTGGATGACCTAATTTTCGAGGAGTTTGGGTTCATCACAGTAAAGTTCTTGCCCCCGAATACCACTCCTCTCCTCCAACCCATGGACCAGCAGGTTATTGCAAACTTTAAAAAACTCTACACAAAAGCAATGTTTCACAGGTGCTTGACTGTGTCGACAGACACTCACTTGACCCTAAGGGAATTTTGGAGAGAACACTTCAGCATCCTCCATTGCATAACCCTTATAGGTATGGCTTGGGAGGGAGTGACTACCAGGACTTTGAACTCTGCCTGGAGAAAATTGTGGCCAGATTGTGTCGACAAGAGGGATTTTGAAGGATTTGGGACTGACCCTAATGAGCCTATGTCTGTTGTAAAATCAATTGTGGCACTGGGGAGTTCCATGGGGTTGGATGTGAGTTTGGAGGATGTGGAAGAATTGGTGGAAGACCACAATGAAGAGCTCACCACTGAGGAGCTGCAAGAGCTTCAGCAGGAAGAGCAACACATCGCAGCTCAGAATCTTGCTGCAGAGGAGGAAGAGAAATGGAAGAAGGTGCCTTTTCAAAAATTAAAGAGATTTTTACTATGTGGGGTAAGATGGAAAGCTTTATGGAGAAACGTCACCCTAACAAGGTTGTTGCAAGCCAGGTTGGCAACATATACAGTGACAAAGTCTTGGGCCATTTTAGGGAAGTGTTAAAGAGACGCCAGAAACAGAGCTCTCTCCACAGTTATTTTGTGAAACAGGACTCCAGTGACTCTCAAGGTGGTCCTAGTGGCATTAAGAAACAGAGAAGAGAAGCAACCCCAGAAAAGCAAATGGTACCTGAGGTGTTGATGGAAGGGGATTTCCCTTCCAAACTATAAACAATCCACTCTCTCTCCTCCTCCAGTCTCCCATACACTAAGAAGAATCTCCAATAAAGGTAAGTGTTATGCTGTTAATGTTTCATTCATTATTTCCCATTGTATTGTTTATGTACTACTACATGTATATTTCATGTTAAATTTTTTTTGTTTTAATACTTCTGGGAGTCAGAAACAGATTAATTGTATTTACATTATTTCTTATGGGGAAAATTGATTCGTAAATCGTAAATTTCGTTTATAGTAACGGCTCCAGGAACGGATTAATTACAAAAAACGAGGGACTACTGTACTTTTATCACTACTACTACTACTACTACCACTAGTAAACATCGAAATGGTACCTCACTAGTATTGCACCTCACTCTGAGCCTTTATATACCCTCTGTGTCCATGTATTGTTTGTAATGGCTTGATAAAGCTCCTGGAGAGCGAAACATTGCCACAATAAAATGTTACATTAGTTGCACTTGTGTCCTTTTACTTTACATATTGTCGGTAATTCTGCCAACTTTATCACCCAAAGGTGTAGAGAGGCCAAAACTAAGTGAACTAGAGAATAATAATAATAATAATGATAATATCCTTATTTCTACAAGTACATGTACAAGGTATATAGGCCTAGCTGACATCAATGACATATTACTAAACAGAAAGCCACTTGTTATGCAGAGCATTTCAGGCAAATTAGGTCAGTTTTGTCCCTGGATGCGACGCACACCCAGGTATCCATTATTATTGAGGGGTGAACATGGACAACCGGTGTAAGGAAACATACCCAACGTTTCTACCCTTGCCGAGAATCGAACTCAGACCCCTCACCATGTAAAGTGAGAGCTTTTGCCACCAGGCCAACTGGAAATGGATAAAGTATAGAAGACAAAGGACCTAGGAAAATAAGGAGATTAGTCGAATAGCCAGAAACGAATATGCACAGCTAAGGAGGTAGGCCCAGCGGCAATGCTAAAAATAACATAGCATCAAAAGCCAGGTCTGACCCAAAGTTGTTGTACAGCCACATCAGGAGAAAAACAACAGTCAAGGACCCGGTAATCAGGCTGAGGAAGGAAGGAGGGGGGATCACAAGAAACGACCGAGAAGTACAGTGGACCCCCGCATACCGTTGGCATCACATAACGTTAAATCCGCATACCGATACATTTTATCGCTAAGATTTTGCCTCGCATACCGCTAAAAAACCCGCTCAACACTATTTGTCCGAGACGCGTCTAATGTGCGGCCTGAGCCAGCTTCACATGTTCCGCCAGTGGCATTGTTTACAAGCCAGCCTCCGCGGTAACATCCA